GAAAAAAAAAGAAAGAAAGAAAGAAGAGAGAGAGAAAGAGAAGAGAGAAAGAAAAGAAAGAGAGAGAATGTGATATTTGATAAACTGAGTAGAATCTGAGAGACAAGAGGAAAACATCAGCTCTTCAGAAATACACAGAAGCAAAGACGAATTCGAGATAGAAGTAAAAGAAAGATTATGATATACAAAAAAAAAAAACAAAAAAAAAATGGAAAGCAAAAGAGAATGTCGAAAAAGAATAAAATCATACAAGAAAAAGAACGCGATAACGAGAGCAAATGAAGAGAGAGAGAGAGAGAGAGAGAGAGAGAGAGAGAGAGGAGAGAGACAGAGAGAACGAGAAAGAAAGAGAGAGAGAGAAGAAAAGAGAAAGAAGAGAGAAAGAGAGAGAAAGAGAGAGAGAAGAAAGAGACAGAAGAGAGAGAGAGAAAGAAAGAAGAGAAGAGAGAAAAAGAGAAAAAAAGAAAGAGAAAGAGAAAGAAAGAAAAAAGAGAGAAGAAACAGACAGACAGACAGAGAAAAACAAACAGACAGAACAGACAAATAAAACAGAGAAACAGAGTCTAAAAGGACGCGGGAGAAGGAGACCTGATGAACACGTGACATAAATGGAGCAAAGTTCATCGGGAGGTTTTCTCAAAAGGAAAGCTGGTGGGATAAACCATGTCTCCTTTGCTTCCATTTCCTTCTCCCTTTCTCCTAATCCTCCCTTTTACCTCCCTTTCCTTTCACCTAATCCCTTCTCTTTTTTTCAACCACTCACACGCAAACGCGCTTATAAGCACACATACACACTCACACAAGCAAATAAACACACTTACCACACAAGCAAAACAAACACGCAAACACATACACACACACACACACACACACACACACACACACACAAACACACAACAAACACACACACACACACCCAAGCACATACAAACACAAACACACACAAGCAAACGAACCCCAAACATAAACAAAACAACACACACACTCATCCATACATGAACAACATACACGTGTATTCCACAACGGAGTATACATAAACAATGAGACCAACGGACATTTTTCCCCTTTCATTTATTTACCCACTTAAGTGCCTTTCCTCAGGTGAAATCAGGAGCAAATTGAACCTTGAACTGAAACTAGCTTCTCTTGGGTCCCCTGTGGCCGAGTGCCGCCGCTTGGCCGTGGCTCTTTCGCTTTCCAGGATGTTTTTGATGAGGGTCTGGAATAATGAATGTATGTGGATCAACATACGGACAGCAATGATGTTTATACATAGGGAGGAAAACGTACACCACCACATACATCAACATACATAAACAAGCTCGCAAACACACACACACACACACGCGCAAACAGACACAGACACAACGTGCAAACAGAGCACGCAAACAAACACAGACACACACTCGCAAACACAACACACCGCAAACGCACACGCACAACACACACACAAACACACACACACTCGGACACACGCGCGCAAACACACACAGACACACACGCGCAAACAGACACGCACAATACGCGCAAACACACACAGACACACACACGCACAATACGCAAACACACACAGACACACACGCGCAAACACACACAGACACACACGCGCAAACACACACAGACACACACGCGCAAACACACACTAACACACACACACAACAGACACACAAGCGCAAACACACACACAGACACACACGCGCAAACAACACGACACAGCACAACACACACAGACGCACAACACAAACACACACACACACGCGCCGCAAACACACACAGACACACGCGCAAACACACACACACACACACACTCGCGCGCAAAACACACACACACACGCGCAAACACACACAGACACACTCGACAAACCACACACAACACGCGCCAACACACACAGACACACACTCGCTCGCAGACACACACGACGCAAACAGACACGGAGACACCACATTCAGGAAATGTTTAACCTTTGCAAAACTTCCTGAATTAAGATGTGAAGAGAAAGACTAACTGCGAAATATGAGAATTGATATTGCTCATGCAACTCATATCTATCCCTCCTTCTCTCTTTCCCCCCCCCCCCTCTCTCTCTCTCTCTCTCTCTCTCTCTCTCTCTCCTCTCTCTCTCTCTCTCTTAGTTTAATCCTTTAGTTTCCTTCAACAGATTTCGTTTTCTTTTTATATCTCACAACTTCCCTTTCTTTCTTATATCCTTTTAAAAATATATCTTATTTTTCTGGTTGTGCCTCTCTTCCCCCCCCCCCCCCAATTTCCTCCCACTCTTTTCAAGATTTTCCCCTCACTCTCTCCCCTTTCTTCTCTCCACCCCCTCCCCCTCTCTCCCTCTCCCCATTTTCTCCCCTTACCCTCTCCCTCTCATATCTCCCCCTTCCTCACCCTCTCTTTCCCCATTTTCACCCCCTTCCCCTCACTCTCTCTCCCTATTTCTCCTCTTCCTCTCCTTCCCTCCTTCTCTGCCTCGTATCCCCTCATAGACGCTTTTCC